TAACTGGCTGTGCTTTTCTGTCATGGAGACGATCTTTTCCACATCACATATGAAATCCACCAAAACGGTGGAAGAATTCAATTGGATTTGAATCAATCTGAATAAATGAATATGAAAGCGTTTCACGTATCCAAAAACAACACAGAAGACAATCGATCGAACCTGCTGTCCTGCCAAAATATGCAGAGTCATGCAATTTTGGACGTCAGGCATCACAGAGCTGGCTGGCGGCGGTATGAAAATAAAATCTTAAATCAATAGGCTGATGTGCGCCATCTCATGGACACAGCTGCATGGTGCAAGTTTCAAGACAAGGGGCAAGGAGCCCGTCCCGGGCAACACAACACAGGAGGAAGAGGTGCAGCCTAGACGGGATGCCAGTGCAACACAGGGCACACAGATACAAACAATGGACAGATGAGAAACGCAGATTAACATAACTGTGCATGTTTGGCCTGGAGAACTAAATCGAGGAAGCCCATGCATAATCCTCCGGGTTTAAAGTATCTAACCCAGGAAGAGCGTGCAAATCACACATACACTCACTCACGCCGAGCAGGAGCCGGACTCAAACCCTCCATCCCCAGCAGCTGCTCCAGCGACTGATCCGCGGTGCCGCCCCGCAAATTACCGCCGTGGCGATTGCCGTGGTATCGGGGCGGCTTTTGTAAAAGAACAATGGCGGAGATTCCGCTCCAGGTTTCCAGTTTCTCATGTCTTTGTGTTCACTCTCAAATGGAGTCGGTCTTTTCTCATCTTTCCAGTGTGAGGAAATAAAGACCACTCACCACACTGACAAGAATAAAGCGAGTGACTTAATTCATTTTAAATAACTTTAAAGTTTTATTTATATTACAAACATTTATGTTCTGATAATGAAAAATGACAAGTTGCATATAGACTATACTGTATGTATTCACTGACGACATCAGACTGCGGAAAAGATTAAACGCAAACCCACTGCTAATTCAAACGCTTGACTTGATAAGACTATTAGAATGACTAATCTAATCCTACAGCCCGTCATTCAGGCATAGCCTACAGTTTAATACACAGAGGACAGAGGAGCAAAAATTAGGCTCTGTCATTGCCTCAAGATCTTAAGCTGAATTACTCAACTGGAAGATCGCTGGTCACATTGAACCGATTAAATATCCCGTTTCCTGCTACTCTTCGGGAGCGAATGCTGTGGGAACGCTTAACGAGATCCCAAGGGTGCGTTTCAAAGGCTTCAGCCACCACTGAAGAGATCATGGGTGAAAAAGAACATATTTCAACATATGTAAATGTTAAGAGTTAAAATATAAGCATACATGCAAATTTAACACGCGGTACTTCGAGGTTGTATTAAAATACTAACATTGACCACTTGGTGGCGCCAAAAGACTAAAGAGAGCGAAGACTCCGCATGCCTGCCTGGATAATCAATTACGAATAAATTGTTTTGTGCAATTCCACTTAATACGATATAACAAGCAGGTTTAAACTCGGATTCAAATCCCACCAGACTTCAGAACGGTTACTTAATAAAGTAATAAAGGCCACAGTTGTTTCTACAACTATTGAGTTAAGAAGCATTTTAAGACATTGCTACAGAAAGATGGCGCTATTGGCAAAAGAAGACGTGAATTACCATGCGCCCACATTCAGAAACATACTCATGCGAGTTGACGCTGGCATGGTAAAACACATCTTTACACGCAGACACACTCAGGCACCCAGCCCATCGATGTCAAAGTGTTTTAAAAAATAAATAATTAACAATAAATAATCAAATTAAGTAATCCGCCTTAATGGAATTATCCCTTTAATTTACCAAAGTGATCGCTCTTAGTTTAATCTGGGATGCAAAGTAGGTAGTAAACTAGTAGTAAAAATGGACAAGAACTCCTGAAGCCACTTGATCAATGAGTTACAGAGTGAGAAATTTGCTCCAGCAAAATATCACACTGTACCAACACGTAAACACCTTAATATGTTTAAGATGTCACCTAAGTAACTGGGGGATAGCACAGTATCTATATTGGTTCTGGCTTTTCAGGGAGTTAAAATGGTAAAACTTGTCTGATTTGTCTGCGTTTGGGATCTTCCGCAGTGTCCCTGAGGACTGGTTGACCAGTCCTCCAGCAATTTGATGAACACTGGAGCATGGAGACTGGCGTAGGAAAGCCTGGAGCTATCTGCTTTGGTGAGGGACAGCCAGTGATAGGGAAAGCCCACCAGGGCCAGGAAGAGGCTTCTCGCAGAGCCTGTGACAGCTTGATAGCAAAGGATGCTCAGCAGGAGATGGGAAGCTATGCAGTCAGTGATGGATGTGCAGTATCTTCTTGACCTCTGTGCACTGGATACTAGTAATGGACAAAATGGCTTTGTGAACCATTTGCTGTATTTTTTAACCCAACTAGATGGTGCTCTCTGCTCAAAAAAGGGCAAAAAGCATGCCCTAAAGCAAACCAAGAGCTCCATCAAGTGGGAACAAAAAATGGTTCATGGAACATCAGTTTGTCCATCACTACTGAGTACTCAACTACCCACAATTCCAGCTCCTCCAGGGACATAGAACACCTCTGATTGGGTGAAAATAATGAACGTCGGATCAGCCACACCCCTGAAAGCAGACAGGAAGCTAGAAGATCTGATGTGTACCTCAGAACAAACTTCAGTCGCCCTCTCTGACCTTTAACAAGCTGTCTACCAACTTTTCTACACATACAATTATAACTGGACACGCTGAGAGGGACGGATCACTTGACCAAAGAGGCGATCTCAGCAGAGGATGCCTCAGATGTTTGAAAGAGATGCACTATACTGACATACTGACAGGGGGCGCTGTGGAGGTATGACTGCCCCCCACCACCCAGCAAAGCCCACCAGCTCTGTATGCTTATTACTGGACTACAGCAGCATCATCTCATGGGCTTCACAGTGGGTGATGGCCCTCAAAACTCTTCTCTAACTGGAGCATAATGTCTTGCGGCACCTTGAGAGCTTCCTGTCAGTCAGAAACACCTCAAAAGTGAGTACCCAGGCAGGGCCTGGTTGGCCTCCTCATGCGTTTATAGCTACTCATATAGCCAATCAGAGAAATGCCACGAAGTTTGGTAACATCTGGTTAACATCTTGGTAAGTCTCATTTATATATAAGCAAACCCAGTAATGCTTGTCTATGACACACACACACAAACATCTTTCTATACAGCTGCTGAACTACCAAATACTAAAATAACTATAAACATCAAGATTTCATTAAGAAAAACATTAACTCACCTGTCCTTTACTACTCTGACATTTTGATATTTATAACTTAACAAATGTTCTTAGTTAAAAGTGCTGTAATCCAGGCAAACAGTGAAATCTGCAGATCGATTCATTAAGCGTTTTGTTAAAAGAACAACATCATATTTACATTTGGAATCTAGTTCCCATGAAAACAGGAATGACCTACTTTTGGTTTGTTGGTGTTAAGAAAGTATTAGTCCCAGTGAAAATGAACATAAATGGGAGCGAAAAACTGTGTGATTACTGAAAGGAAAGAGTATAATGAGTATGAAATGGGAACTTTACACACTGGAGAGCACAAACACACACACACACACACACACACAAACATGCACGCACACGCACGCACACACACACACACGCATGCACACACACAAACACACACGCACACATGTGCACACACACGCACACAAACACACACACGCGCACACACAAAAAAAGACACACGCATGCACGCACACACAAACGCACACACACACACACACACACACACACAGTTAGACCCACATCCCTTACAGATCCATGACCCCCTGCCCCCCCCAGTGCCTGAGAAGCGCAGCTAATAAAGGCAGCAGGTGAGGCAGCGGTCAGCCTGCACACTCAGTCAGGTTTATTAGATTTCCGGTGCGGTTCTGTAGGAAGGACAATGATTTGTGCAAAGAGACAGGTGGGAGAGGGTCTCGCAGCATGAATTAGGCTGACACGCCTTTTCTTTGTTGGGGGGGGCTGTCACTCATAACATATATCTTATGGCTGGAGAATAGTAAGAGGCCAGAATGTATGCTAAGTACTGCTAAGTGTTTGGAAACACACACACACACACACACACACACAC